AATGGATAATGGCTCGGAATGAGAAATCGGAGAGCCGAGTTCGCATTCCAGTCAAGTTCGTTATATTCATTTACGCGCAAATACACTTTGGAAATGTATGAATCCATATCTCCTCCTCCAACCTATCGGTTGAATAACAGCACAGATTGGGCCCTATAGCCTACCGTAGATAGATAGAAAGAAAGAAAGAAAGAAAGAAAGGACCGTCTACTGCGGGAAAAATTCTGTCGAGTCAGTCATGAATCAAAAGAAGACGTGTTCGTCCAAACGTGTATCACATATAGCACTTGACTAAGTTCAATGGTCAGGCAAATATCACTTTTTTTTTAATCACCACCCGCAAGCAAGACAATAATGCCACTAAGACGCAAACGGCTACTAGGAGTGAAAGAGAATGAGAAAACTTTAGAAGGAATTGGAAACACAATCCTAAACTGGAAACAATTGATAAACCTCTACTCCTGTTCAAAAGATCAGGGAGATGTGTGAACCGGACGATAGCAGAAACTTTCTACCCCTATTAAACTTAATTCCCAAGATTATGAACCAATGAAAAAATATTAAATTAAAGTTTAATTTAATTTAAATTTCAATTTAATAATCTAAATTAAAATTTATTTACTATAGAATGATGCAATTTTTCTTTTTTCTCACTTCTCGCATACCTACTTTATTGATGTCAATATGGTTGTAATTATCTATTGATCACTCGATCGATTATCGAATTATACAAGGTCACAAAAATGTATTAGATAACTCCTTTTATTAGATAATCATATTAAAAATATTCATGTAAAATCTACTAAGCTTAACTTAGTCTGGTACAAGACTACAAATGTGGAGCACCCAGAGAATACGTCACTGTCCCTACTCTTATATGGATATCATGCATGGCAACCCACTCATTCAAAAATATCTAAACTATCAGCTACAAACAACCGTTTTCTCAGATTAAACTGTTTAAAGGCAATAGATACTCTAGTTCCGAAAGAAGACGATTACTGGCGCTACAGAATCACAAACAAAGAAATGTACCAAACAACAAAAAACACATCACTTGAAGACTTCCAACAGCAGCAACAATTAAAATAGATAGTACATGTAACTTGAACGGAAAATAATGATTTATTCAAAATGTTGACTTCCCACGCTGCACTGAATAAAAAGGAAGGGAACTCCCATCACCATTAGAATGAGGTATAACTATTCGTAGACTTATTTCCGGAAAAATCTGCTTTCATAAATTTCAACCGACTCTAACGCTAACTGTTCAATCAATAAATGCCGAATGTTTCCTTATAAGGAAACGGTTAATTTCACCTTTACTATTTCTCTTTCCAAATACCATGTCCCTTCATTAAGTAGACGATCACAATTCTCCAGAGATTCCCTTTTCTTTTGGATCTGTCAAGTGCTATGAATTCTTGGGAAAGATAGTGGAGTGGTTTCCCGTTATCGTCTCCGCGGTTTGGAATTCAGGGTAATCCTCTTAGACTATTTGCTATCTAAGCCTAGAGAGCCATTGCTACCCAGCTATTTAAACTTTAGATAGAAGGAGAAGAGATGGAATGATGCCTTTCCTTTGGATATTAGTGCGAAACGAAACATAGTAGACTAGGCCCGGATTTGAACCCGGTACGACGATTCTGCTTTCTGATGTGATAACTTATACGCAACTTGCTCATCGTAGGCATCTGTCCATTTGGCGGCACTCATCTTTGTAACGTGTTATGGAGTTTATTTCCTGATTCATTGATAAATAATTCAATCGCTGCTGGGCGCTTCAGAAAAAAAAAGGTTCCTCTTTCAATTGAGTTTTATATTTCTGTAAAGGCATTTCCGTTGCCTTTTTTATGCACACGAATAACTTTACGCATATAAATTCATCTGCTTGTACGTGTGTATTTTCTACGTCCACCTTAGTCTGGTACGAGAAGAATGAAAACGAATCAAGAAAGAAAGACTGTGTTGCACCAATAAAATCAGCATTTGAAATACGGTTTTTAATTGAACTCGAACACTTACACATGGTCGCTGGTGGAAAATACGTATAGGTTATGAAAGAAGTCTAAGTTTACGTCTTTGGAATTAATGGAATCATTTATGTGCATATGTTTGGTTAGCATAACGATTATTGGCACAGAACGTGGAATCGGTTATCTGAGTTCAAATGTCAACCAAGTCAGCTGCGTTCACATCGCACTAATGCATTTCGGAAATTCATGAATTGATCTCATTGCCCTCAGATATGGGTTAAATAGCAGGACAGTATGGGTTCTCTAGCCTTGGAACCTATATAAGAGAAAGACGACTGTGAATTCAAAATTGTAGAGAGAGAGTAACGGGAAACCACTTTACTATCTTTTCGAAGATGTCATGGCAATCCACACAATAGAAAAATTATGATCGTCTCGGTCCTGAAGAATGATGGTATTTAAAAATGATTTATTGAGATGAAGTGGGTTTTTTTTTATCATTTCATTCATATTCAGTGTCGACGACAGATGATCAATATGAGCCGTCATAGGCACAGAAGACATTTTCTTTGATTATATGCAAGTGTTCACCCTCCCTTCCGTTTCTGAACACCACCCCCTTGCGCAGAATAGGACAACAGCCTCACCACGCAGGGTGTTTTGGTTTTTGTAGCAAGTAGTTTGCTCGGCGTGGAATTGCTAGCTCCAAGCCCAGGTGGTTTTTAATTCAAAGCCCGGTTAACCATGTTATTTCATTGGGGTTTAGGTTTACGGTCAAATCACGCTGAAACACCGGTTCTCGTTCGATCACCGAAGTTAAGCATCGTAGAGGCAGGTCAGTACTTAGATGGGGGACCGCTTGGGAACACCTGGTACTGTAAGCCCCCAAAGTCCAACCCTTACCTCACAGTCGGTGGGGGGTGTAAACGGTAGTGTCAGAGCTATGCCGCCCGGAACTTCGTTCCTGGTAGGGCCACCCAAGGCGGACAGGTCTGACACACACGCCGGCTAACAAGGGCTCTGGTGAAAATCCAAGGAGCGTCTGCATCGGTAACCGGCGGCTTCTGGTCGTTCCTGTCTCTGCGTCTGTGGGAATCCCGCGGCAAGCAAGAACGTTATTCGAGTAGGCCTGGGTACCCTACTTCTGTAATTTATCCCAAGAATCTTCTTCTCATAACAGGAAGAAGCCGGCTCAATCCGCCCAGGGTGAATGCCGCATCAGTACAGTACAGTATTGGGGTTTAGAGATGGATTCATATCTTTCTGAAGCGCATTTGTGTGAAAGTGAACGCAACGAACTCGGTCGGAATTTGAACATGGTACGTAGATTTCACACTCCATGATGATAACCGCTTCGCTACATTACACACACGTCCAAGTGTTGGAGGATCATTATCTCAGCGCCTGGTAACAATACATTGATATCTATTGTAGGCAAAGAGCAAGCTTAGACTGTTGCTGACATTTAGCGAGTGGGAAGCCATTGTTCAAGTCGGTATTAAAGAATTGCAAACCGCTGTTGTTTAATCTGCATGTGGGACTGAAAAGAAACAGAGAAATGAACTATTCTGAGAATAGTTGATGAAAGAAGAAGAACGGATTAGTAGAAGACGATAAACGAAAAAGAAGTAAACAAATAATAAGATAATAAATGAAAGAAAAACCAAAAAGCAAACAACGAAGAGCAAGAAAAAAAAGAGCATTTGCAAAATTTTAGTTTCAAATTTTTTTTTCAGTCAACACAAGAAGAATTACAATGCTTTTCAAAGCATTGTAATTCTTCTTGTGTTGACTGAAAGCTTCTAAGAAAATAAAAGTGAATAAGAAGATATGTATATACATACGAAATTGGATCAATAAGTTCGTAACCTGTCACAATTATTAGCTGAATTTTGATATGATAATTTCGTATAATTGAACTTTGTGATTAATAGAGAGGTATTAGGTTTAAGGGTTTGACAAGGAAGGAAATTATGTTGAAAAATAAATATTTGTTGGTTCAAATAAATGCTTTTTTCATCATTTGGCTACAAAATTATTAATGCATTTCCTTACACACGCACACACATGTACACATATATACATACATAAGCAAAAACTGGTTTTCAGGTGAGTATCCATTCTCTAGCTTTCAAATAATATGCTGGAGATTTTGTCCAATTTAATATGTACGCGCGCGCACACACACTGTTTTAAATCATAAATTAAATAACATTTATCTCAAACACTGAAACGGGATTCACTTTTGGTTTCATTAGTCAATTCACTAGGCACAGGTTCTAGCTCTAAATGATGTCTGTAGATTTAAACGATGTTTGTCCCCTTACTATTATTAGTAAGGGAACAAACATAGCTTAGAGCTACAAGGAACGGGAAGTTGTAGAGATTCATAATCACCCAAGACCTGAAGGCACATGGCATATAAAATAATCTTCTGTGCTTACTGACACCCCACACAACCGGATTAAATTCGTTTCTCAATTCTTTAAGCATTCGAAAACGTCTACACAAATTTGAACTAGACTGCTTATGATTGTTTTGCAATGAAATATTGTTAGAATGAAATTAGCAATTCTATTGAAGTTCGACATTTTTATCGTATTTTTCTTAGAGAAAATATTTTAAATTGATATTTCATTTTTGAAATTATATCATATTTCTTTAATTTTGAGATGTCATTATAATTTCAAGTGTTCAGACTGTTGATTAAAAAGGAACAAAAAAATTTATCGAATTTCACGAAAAAATTTGATGAGGAGAGTCAGAAGATAATTTTGAGAAGTTTCTAGGCACTCCGAGATTCGAAACCTAGTCTCCTATTTAAGAAGTAGAATATATCACTTTATCAGGATATACAATACCGTGCACACTTTATAAAGATGTTATCTGAATTATAGATACGCACAGCGTAAAATCTATTGATAAGCCCAACAAAAATTCAAAGTGCGCGTTGGAGGCAAAAATTTTAACTGCTATCTTTAAGGCCTTGAAAGAAGGACATAAAATTATTTCATTTCACTGGATTGTGTGAAAGAAGTTATCCTCCCTTGACGAATATCTGAAATGAGAAAATCATGACAATGACGAATAGACAGTTCGTTATTTTGACACACACACTAGAATTAACTCTTTGCTTTAATGCCAATCAGAAAGAACATTTGAAGACTTTAGTGTCAAGTTGTATACCTTTCTGGATTAAAAATGTGATTGAATAAAAATTGCGCTGTGGGTTTCGAAGTAGATATAGATTAGGGACAAATTTACCTATTTTTGTGTTATATAATAATAATAATGATGATGATTTTAATAATAATAATAATGATGACGATGATGATTATAATAATAATAATAATAATAATAATAATAATAATAATAAACAAGTGACCATCTTGCATCACGTTGCAGAGTGTTAGCGCCCATTGAATATAAACCTCGACATGATAGAGTGGACCAATATCTGCACTGGAAAATGTGCAACTTTTACGGGAAGGAAACTGAAAGAAATTTGTATGGACATCAATCAGACCCGGTTACAGACATAGGGCCTGTAACAATTTTATAGGATTTTACAATATACAGAGACAGAACAATCAAAGCTAATGACCCAGACATCGGGATCATCTTATTGACATAGCAGTTCCTGCAAATTGTAATGTATCTTTGGAGATCTAAAAAAAAACTATCAAAAAACAAGAACCTTGAAATGGAAATCTAAAAAAAAAAATTGCACATGAGGACATCAATAATTCCAATTGTAGTTGGTACCTTAAGAAATAGTATCGGATTAAAAATAAAAGTCATTAATTACTTTAGATATAAATATAGTTTTCATTACTTCAAACGTTATTATAGTGGATACTCGTATTTGAAATAGACGTCTCAGTTTTATTTTAAACAATGTTTATTGCATCTATTTATCTGCGCATTCGAGAAATATAAATAAAGTAAACGTGCTCTCCGACAGGGAACGAATCTGCGTCCCCTTTGTAAGAGAAACCACCGCTTGATCCGGCAAACTTTACCACTCGGCTACATACAGCGCCACAGTTCCGTAAAACTCTATTTTTCCTTTTAAGAAAAGCATATTTTTCTTTGAAAAGCCCATATCTGATCCGTTTCGTATCCAAAACGCAAACAAAGCAATTTCTCCAGACACAATGGGTTACTGGATGGGGAAAGATTAGAAAACAGAAACTTTACTAAGGAACAAGAAGAAAAGAAGAGTAATCAGGAAGACAGTAGAAAGCGATTGACAATGCATTTATATTTTTGACGATTAAAGTTGGCGGGAAAGCTTGGAGCCGGAAGAGAGTTCCACAAGCGAGAAGTGCGAGAAAACAAACTGTTAGCATAGAACTAAAATACTAATAAAAATTTAATTTTTTTACGAAAAATAAAAGGGCCTAGAGAATCTAACACTCAAATTGAGGGAAAAAGAAAAAATGTAACAGTAATTAACCTACTTAACGAGTTTCTGTCAATGGTCAAGGACAAAGAGGAAAAGTAAAGGATCAAAATTTATGTAGATCAACAATAGACAGGAAGTTGTGGAGAGTCAATATCAACGAGATCTTGAAGGGAATAAGAGTAGAAGATGACTGATTATTGAGAGGAATATTTGGGGTTATGTTACAAGCGTCTCTTTTCAGAGTCAAGATCAGGATTTCATTTGAAATGCTATCATGCCCGACTTGTGCAGGAAAAAGTAACTAATCTCCTTCGAAGTTTAAAGTCTCGCCCTGGTTATTTTTCAAATTTTAAAAGCAGTTTTCCCGTCGTCGCCCTTTTCTTTCTAAACAAGATCAAACTAGTTTGTGCTTGGTTTTGAGTGTAAAAGTAAATGACGAAAGAGAAACCACGTACGAGTCAGGCAACACATCATTTCCCGCTTCATGACACACGACCAGCTATTTTCATTTTTTTAAGAAAAGGAGCATATTTGCCTGAAAGCGATTATATCGCCATTTTGCCGGTCTATTGCCATTTATTAAAACATCAGGATCTTCGATCTTGACATTAATTTCATTTGATTAAGTAAATAGGTCGAAACATTGACAGACAGATAGGTAAGAAGGAATGTCGGTTTCGAGAAGAAACTGAAAATCAAGATGAGTGAAGATCGAGCATTAAAAAGAGTTGGAAAAGTAATAAAGAAGAAATTGTTTAGAAAGATAAATTTAATGACGATTATAAAATAAGAAAAACGAACATAAGGAGAAATTATAAGAGAGAAGGGAAATGTTGGAAAGAAAGAGGAAAAAGATTTTGATAAATAAATAGTAAACAATGGAGGAAACTTATGACAACAGCAGCAGCAACAACAACAACAACAACAATAATAATAATAATAATAATAATTGTAGATTATAATGTATCTTTGAAGACTTTCAAAAAACTATTAAAATACATGGATCTTGAAGCGGAAATCTAAAAAATGTGGCACACGAGGACATCAATAATTCCTGTTGTAGTTAGAACACTCGGATTGACTGGAAAAGGTTCCAGTAAACTTATTGGGGGGATTTTTGGTAGAAAAAAGAAAGAAAGAAATAAACAAAATAAGCACAGTGAAGCATTGGGCCTGAAGTGGGATAGATAAAATATATGCGACTGGCCACTGAAAAGTTGAATCAACACAAATACAACGCGAGACGTGGTAAACTCAACAGTTTTTTCAAAACTGCCGCTCGAACCGTTTTGCTCCCAGCATTCCCTAGTGGGACCGGAAGTGTCTACAATAATCATAATTAGCATTATTGAGGTTGTTATGAACAGTAGTATTTAATCGAATTATAATTTCAATATATTTTCATTTGTAAAGTCTTAGATGAAGTTGGTTAATTTGACGACATATCAACTCTTGTTTGGATAGTTAATGTCGAATATAAACCAATATAGGACAAAAGTCATTATGAGTTAATAGATAGGCCGGCATAGGTCTGGTTTGCGCGTGAGTCAAAAAGTAGATATTGATTGAGTTTATACATGAGTCTGTAAGCATCCACCCGTAAGGTGTTCCCTTTCGCGAGTGTGTCGGCTTACGGTCATATGTTGAAACACTGGTTCTCGCACGATCACCGTAGTTAAGCAAAGTCGATCCTGGTCAGTACCTTGATGGGTGAATACCAGGTGTTTGTAAGCTTCAATGTGTAGGTGGTATAATGGATAACATTTCGGAATTGGAAATCGAAGAGCCGAGTTCCAAATCCAGTCGGGTTTGTTCCTCGGGAAAGTTATGAATGCACCTCTTCGACCCCAACGCCACCCCACCCCGGTTATGGGTTAATTAGTAGGAGTTGTACCATTAAAATCATTATCTCCAAAAAATTATTACAATCTAAAAACATTTTCTGGCTTTAAATAACCTACTTGATAAGCCGTCAAAATGAAATCAGCCAGTTAATCAATCAATAATTTCTGGGGATGTCGCTCAATAAAATCAACCAAAACCAAATAAAACCCTTTTGTTTTGTCTTCTTTTTTCTTTGTTGGTGTTTTTAATTCGTTCAATCATTTATCATTTTTCATTCTCACTTCATTTTTCTCTTTTCATCTTTTCTTTAGGCTTCCTTTATTTTTTCTCTTTCCATCTTTTCTTTAGTCTTCCTTTTTTATTTTTCTCTTTCCATCTTTTCTTTAGTCTTCCTTCTTTATTTTTTCTTTCCATCTTTTCTTTAGGCTTCCTTCTTTATTTTTTTTCTTTCCATCATTTTTTTAGGCTTCCGGCTTTATTTTCCGTCTTTCAATTTTTTCCATCCTCTTTTCATTATTTTTCCTCTTTCTTACTTTTATCCACACATCACTTTTCCGTGATTGTATTCCCAATCCATTCTAGTTTTTAATTCATCTGTCTCCCCATCGCCAACTGTGACCCTTTACAGCCATTAAATCCCGTATTACTGTCTAGCCTATTATTCTTGTCTCTTGCTCCCAATCAGCGTCCTACTCACATATTTTCACGTTCTACTTTCCTACATCTTCCATTTTCAAGTATTTATTTTATCAGTCAGTTGTGTCGTTGAAGAAGTTACTTTTTATCTGCAGCTGCCTTTTTGTGAAACCTTGTCTCACCTTCCAGTATAATCCATTGCTTTTACTATTGTTATTTATCTCATTTTCCAGTCCCGATAAAAAGAAGAAGCAAAGTGTTGTTAGTCAGCACTTCTCAAGATGTTGTCTTTTTAAACACTCCTATTGTTTGCGGGTATAGAAAGAAAATGTCTATTCAACTATGATTTTTTTTCCCTATATTGGTTAACTAATTAAAGTATGCATGCCAGCACACACACACATACACGGAGAGAGAGAGAGAGAGAGAGAGAGAGAGAGAGAGAGAGAGAGAGAGGTATATACATATATACTGAGATTAGTGGATTTTTTACGGCTTATAAACCAGTTTTGAGTTATTCCTGATTCCCAAGTGAATGCTTCTCTGATCATTAGAATCTGAACGTTCAAGTCTACGGTTAACCATTATTTTCCCCACATATCCTCATAAACCACGTCCTTTACACTGTAACCCCGTACCCCGAGTGGCGCTTGGGCCTTGTACAAGTTGAATATCATTATAAAAAAAAAAAAATTTAAAGCCGAAAAATATTTCAGATTGTAGGAAGTTGCTTACACTATTCAGTGTTCCGAAACGGTTACCCATTTAAATACTGACCGGGCTCTGGCCCAGTCGACTGGAGCTTCAGAATACACGGACTGCATTCTCTGCAGAGGGGTAAGACGCCCCCGCCGCAAATGAGGCGTCCTGGGTAAGACGATAAACTACGTCCAACGGCAAGGCCTCTGATCAGGAGGTTTTGATGACCGTGGAACCACGTCTTAATTGCTGGTATTCCCAGGTCCACCTTGACCCGGGGTGGTAGCATCTGTTAGGGCCCGAGCTATGGGCAAATAGTTGACTACCAAATAGGGGTCAAAACGCCGTGGTGTAAAATATGTATTAATACCAGTAATACTTTTCTTGAGGGAAAAATTATTAACAGCAATACATTGTTGAAGAAAAAATTATTACCAGCAATATAGTTTTGATTGAAAAAATATTATCGGAGATACAATTTTGAAGGAAAAATTATTACCAGCAATACATTTCTGTAAGAAAAATTATTACTTGTAATGCTTCTGTGAAGGAAGAATTATTGCCAGCAATACATTTTAAAGGAAAATTATTACAAAGTATTACCAGTAATACATTTTTGGAAAAATATTACTTGCAATAGATTTTTTGAAAAAAAAACCTGTAATAGATTTTTGAAGAAGAATATTACCAGAAATAGATTTTTGAAGGGAAAAACATTATCAGCAATACTATGAAAGTGTAAAAAGAGGTTTTAATACTAGAAATACTTTGTAAACAAATTATACATTTTTTGAAAAAAATTTTTTACCAGCGATAAATTTTTGAAGAAAATATATTACCAGCAATAAAAATTGTCGGCATTAAATAACCCATATGCCGTAAAACAAACCAAACCAAACCAAACTGACCGGGCTCTATAGCGCTTAAGTTCGAACGAGAACCAGTGTTTTCAACGTGATTTCAACATAATTTCATCGTAAGTTTTTGAATGAAAGGTAGTGAGTAACGGGAATGAAACAACTGTCATTATCATTTGTGTAAATATTTCATACTCAGGAGCCTATTTTCAGGACAAGTGCACTAGGAAAAGAGCTTTGGGATTATCTCTTATAGTTGATTCTCTCCCCACCTCTCTCTCTCCATATATATATATATATATATATATATATATGCTGAAGTCAACACCCAGCGGTGACAGTCTGTTTCATGCTTATACTCAGTCGCCAAGCCATATCTGTTGCTTTGTTCGACAATTTATATATACAGTGGTGATGCATTGTCAGTAGTTAACAAACAACACTATATATATATATATATATATATATATATATATATATATATATATATATAAATTATATTATATATATATATATATATATATATATATATATATATAAATTATATTATAATATATATATATATATATATATATATATATATAGAAATATATGTGTGTGTGTGTGTTTGTGCGTGTGTGAGCCTACTCTCAATAATATTAACTACGAATTCAGCCATACTGTGTTAACTGTGTTCGGAAAATAAAACATTTGTAACTCTAAAAACATACACACAACCCCTATCTCAGTTAAAAACCAAAAATAAATTCATCCTTGATAATGGCTAAAAGTATAGCCGAAAGCTTACAGAATGGCAGAACATTTGGACAGTTTCTACACATTCTGTGTCCAGAAAAGCAAACACTGGCGCGGACACAAGAAAAATTAAATAAAAAGCTTAATCGCAGTACCTTGTCTGTTGTCTTTAATCACACACACACACACACACACACACACACACACACACACACACACACACATATATATATATAGTACAGGTAATAGATCCGTTGGTATATAATCCAGGTGGATCCTGATAATATAAATATTAAAAGTGATCCACAAAGAGAGCTCAATGTATTTATTATAACAGAGCATATAAATTACACAGCCAAAAAAAAAAAAATCCCAAATGACCTCATTTGGGTATAAATCTATTTCAGCTGGCTAAAACACACACACACACACACACACACATATATATATTGCTTAGAATTTGTTATATTTATATAGGAATATGGCTCAATATCGGATATAGAGCTTTATAGATATAGACAGTGTTATTACTACGTAGTGACTGTCAGTTTCACGCCTCAAGTGATCTTCGGACTATGTAGTACTACGCCTTTTGCTGGCTTTATATATAGGCCACTGGGGGCTCAAAGGAAGTTAGGCAAGTAGGAAATTGTTCCTTAGCAGTTCTTTTGCTTGTTGTTAATTGCTTGGGTTATTGAGAGCCATAACCTTTAATTTGTATATTCATTATTTTGAATATATTATTTTATTTATTCATACATATTTCATTTATTTATTTGTTTTGCATATTTTCTTTTGTATAATATATATAGAGAACATGACTCAAAGATTTAGAAGAGGACGATTGACGTTGCATTTGAATTTTGCGTTTATTATTATTATCATCCTTATCTTTATTTGTTATAACCAAAATGTGCTGTTTCACTATGCATGTAATCATCAGATTAAATAAGTTTTCGACATATTTGTTTCATAAAATCTCGAGTTACTTAATAAATCATTGCTTGATAATCAGAATCGTTTGTACCGTGACATTCTGTATTGCGAGATTAGGTTATTCGAGGAAGGCGAATCATAATTGTGGATGACGCGAATAAGTTTATTTCCGTTTTGTTTAAAAGAACTGACGTGTATATATGATTTTGCATTAGTATTATTTTATATGTCTGTATATATATATATATATATATATATATATATACATTCTGCGTGTGTGTGTGTGTGCGTGTATTTGCCAGTGTGAGGGGAAAACCAACTTGATACCACGGAGAGAAGGAGGAGGAGAACGAGAGAGAGAGAGAGAGAGAGAGAGAGAGAGAGAGAGAGAGGGGAGAACAATTAGGAAAATGGTGATGTTCATGAACCTCGAGAACACGGTACTGTCTGAGCCATCCATCAACAAATGAGACCTTAAGACGCAAATAAAACCACGCACCTTCATTCATTTGCTTTCTTACAGTGACGGGCGTGGACCGCTGAAACCGATCCAGCGATTATCTTGAAACGAAGGACAACAATCCAACCTCGTATATCCTTGGTATGTAACCCGAGGTGAACAGTCAGTCTATCTGGGCATGTGGGACTGGGAAGATGGAGCGGCCCACCAACGAAGGTCTCTGCTTAAGTAGGTTTTGTGCGTGCTATCAAGTCATATCAGCAATGAGCAAGCAAACTACGCATCTTCGTCCCGCGTTACGCACTCAACTATGTCTACAATGCACTTAAAGTATTCTCAGAGATAACTTAGTGATTAGGTTATTGGACAAAGACAAAGAGGTTTTAATGTCCAATTCTTAAAACCGGGTAGGCTGACGTCGTAAATATTCCACCCCTCAATTAGTTTGAAATTCTGAAGTAATTTCATCGCTATAAATAATTTGACTAGTTTTCAGTCAGTGATTTGTTTTTAGTTGATTTTGTTATTAAATGTGGCTGATTTGTATTAATATTATTAAGTTTTTTTTAATCACTTCACCTCAAGCAAGGCGATAAGGCCATTAGGAGATAAGGGATTACTAGAAGTGGAAGACAATAAGAAGACATCAGTGAAATGAATGGGCAATAAAACAACAGAATTCAGGAAGACAGAAGATAGCGATTGGCGTTGAATTTAAATCTTTGAAGATTGTAAGTGGCAGAGAAACAAGAAATCGGAAGGCAGCTCCACATGCGAGAAGTGCGAGAAAAGAAACAATTAGAAGGGAATATACGGTTGCATCTAACTAGTTCAACAGTAAAATGGTGACACCTAGTTGATAATCTAGTAACGCGCTTAAATTCATACAGTTGGGGCCTCAAGGAAGAAAGCTAATCAGAACATGAATGAATATTTGCCATGAAAATATTTGTAGAAAGGACAGAGGGAAGCCACGTCACGCACGTGAGAAAGTGACAGAAGTCGAGATGCCAGGTCAGGATCGATTACGTTACAGATCCTTAGTTGAATTTTTAGGTTATTGGACAGAGACAAAGATACTTAATGCCCAATTCTCAAAACTGGGTGGACTGCCTTCGCTCAGTTAGTTTGAGATTATGTACTAAGTTCATCGCTTTAAATATTTTGACTAGTTTTCAGTCAGCTATTTCTATCTTTAGCGAATCTTCAGCCATTAAATGTGGATGATTTGTATTAATATTTCGACGTCTTTCTTATACCATAAAAATATTGACAAATTCTGTCACAGTTTGCGTTAACCGACACGAATATTTTTCAATGTTATTTTCAGCTTTTACCCTTGATATATCAGGCGGGGTTTTACTCCCAAATAGGATCATATTTATATATTGAATAATGTCAATATTAGCAATGCTTCGCGCCGTCGTTTAAAAAGAAGAGTCAGTTGTTTCTAAGCCTGTCGGTTTGATAGCCCATGTTTGAAAGGTGAGCATCGTTGAGTCATGGCCATTCGTGGCTCTCGGCTTGTATTAATGACGGGGTCAGCTTATTCATATTCCCACGCGACTAAGATTTCGGTTGAGAAATATAGACCGCTCGCCTGTGGTGGCTAATTTACTATTTCTACTCACCCTGTAATACTTTAGATATTGGTTTCACAAGGTTAAAGGTCTCCGTGAACAGGGAAATCGCTTTTGCTAAGTACAGAAATCTGTCGCGCCGAAAACAAAAGAAAAAAAAAGAATTATTCTCTATTTTTTATTCTTTTATTTTTTTTTTAATTTGTCTTTGATCGAATATTTCACAGAGTTAACCAATTAAAAATAACTTCGATAACCCTATTAGCTTTTGTAGGGTGTTTTTTTTTTAAATCTTTGTCTATAGCAGTGAATTTAAATTATAAAAATAAAGCAGTAAAGAATAGAATATTTTTTCCGCAATCATGGACATTCGCATCCTCAGAAAGACGGAGTGTTAAAAGGACTTTTTTTTCTTGACATCGCTATTATTTTAACTACTATCACTTCCCTGCAGATGAAACAACTTTGACCTTCTTTGGAGCAGGTGAGGAGGAGCGATTCCACTGCATGGTCGTCTCTTTCTCTTTGGCTCAAAGTGATGAAACCAACACGCATCCTGGGCCAGGAAAATGTTAAAAAAAAAAAAAAAAATGTCAGATTTTCCTGTGATGTGATCAGCCCACTGAGCCGAATAATAATAATAATAAAAATATATTTTTGATATTTCTAGTAATGAATGTAATGTTGTAAACCTTTCTAACATTATATTAGGTTTAGTCATAAATAATTTCCGTTCGTGTTTATCAAATTTATTCTTAAAAAAATAAATCACAATTACATTTTATTCAATTATATATTCCACACAATTTGCAATGACATTTTGCCGATTAACTTGGCAGCTCTTCGAATAAAATTACACAGAGTTTTAGGTAAAAATGTTTTTGACGAATTCTTGAAGCTGGTGTTCATTATAGAAAGTTTTTTTCATCAAAGCGTTTTGCAGCGATCGAAAAATGTAATGCTCGATTGGTGCAGAGTCAGGTGAATATAGTGGTTTGGGTAGAACAGACCGACCAAGTTCCAAAATCTTTTCCTGTGTTATTCGTGTTTTATGCAACCTTGTGTTGTCACGAAGGCGAACAATATTTTACTTTTAATCTACTGAGTACGCTACTACATCCGTGCAAAACTAAAGTATGTCATTATACTCTAAATTTTTTTTTTTTAAGCATTTTACCCCAAGCAAGGCGGGAAGCCACTAGGACGCAAGGGGTTACAGAAAATTTAGAGCAAGATCAGATAGAAGTGATAGAAGAAAGGATGAGGGTAGTGGATAGATTTTATTTTTAACTGTCGTGAATTAGTAATTACTATGATACATTCATCACAATTGGTTCCCCAAAGCGGAAAGTACGAATGACTCAACTTAAATAATTCAATTACCAGCCTACTATTGGATTCGAACCTGAACAACTATTCTTGGAAATGAGTTAGCGCTCTCTTTAGAGGTATATGTTAAGGAATGTCCTGTTACACAAATACTCGAAGTAGGGAAACTTTTAAATATGAAGCTGGGTTCTCGTCACGGTTAATATGTCAGGGAAGTGACTTCATGATATTATCTTCCTAGCCTTCTGAATTAAATTAAACAGACGGAATTGTTTGGAAGCCGTCGATGGCTGTGCTACCAAAAAACCATAAATCTGAGGTTTTTTGCGTCCTTGTCTCGTTCAAATTGTTGATCACACCAAATTATGCGTTCTTCCTCAGAAACTTTAAATAAGTTCCGCTCGCCATAGTTGTAGTATAAACCATATTTTTGCCTTGTGGATGTTGAACAAGAACAAATGTGCTTGAGCAGGCGTCTCCAACCGGGATTGATTAGACGTTGTAGCAGCCGGCCATTATTATTTATGTGTATGTGCATAAACGTTCTGATCAAAGCACGGAAGAAACATTTCCTGGACTCAACCGTCATGAATTACCACCCACGCTGAAAGTGTTAATAAGAAAGCATTTTCTCAAATACACGCATGCGCTCTGACCGTTCCTCAGACAACTTTTGTTTTGGTGTAGGTCATACAAAATATTTGTGAATGTGTGGGGGTGAGAGAGAGAGAGAGAGAGAGAACGTACGTACGTACGTACACACATGAGAGGGAAAATGAGAGAAGACAAGAGTGTGAGAAAGAAAACGAGAGAAGAGAAAAAGAAGAGAGTAAGGATAGAGTAACTTAAATTTTACGGTTGGAAAAATGCGCCGTGATTTTGTCTAACAGACTATATCTGTGTTAATTATTTACATATATCATATCCGCCTCAAGTTCAAGACGGGAGCCTGAATCAGTACCCAAGAGACGTGTGTATCTTAAGTCTCCTTCTGAGGAAAATTAAATACTGTTTTTACTGTTATAATGATTCAGTAATTTAATTGCTCAGTTAAGATGCCTAACTCATCGGATAAACAAATTGTTTCTTTATACAGATAACCTCATGTAAGTAATATCAGCAATGCGAATAATACGTGACTAGTATCAACTTTCTAAGAATCCTTTACCCACAAGTGACATGACTATCAATTTGCAGTTTCAGAACAATAAATAAATAACATAAATAAAAATTATACCGCAGACACGGCGTCAGAAAATAAAAAGTGAGACAAAATTAGGTACTCCGCAGAGACGAGATAACTAAATTCTAAAATTAATTTAAAAAAATGAAAACTCTTTCTTGAAGATTTCAGTTTTAATTTCACGCTAATAGATTAAATTTAATATTTCCAGTATGCAAAATACTTTGCTATATTTCAAGACCAATTTAAATTGACTTGAAGGAGTTTTCGTTTTGAACTTGCTAAAATAGCTGATTTTAGCCATCAGTCATCACGATATAATTCTCTTTATTAAATTTTTTTTAAAATAAAATAAAATATACTTTTCTGAAACTTTATTTGAGGAATATTAACTAATTTAAAATTGAATTAATCTGATCTGAAGCAAATATCACTATACATAAATATAAGTTTAAAATATCGACGAAATTGATTTTTAAACACGGCGGTTGCTGCTTATTTAAGGGGTTGACAAATTGACAGCTTTTCGATTTATGATTAGTAAATACAGTTTTTATTTAATAACACTATCACGTGACCGTAAATAAGACAGAATTTTAAAATATTTAAAACTTTATAAATTACTAGCAGGCTTTGCCTGCTCGCTATCGCTTTGCGAGGTAAGATACTTGAAATCTTTGAAACAAAAAATTTTATATGAACATTTCATTCATAAATTGGCTTGTTATAGTTAAGGAAAGTTTTACAAATAGATGCCAACTTCTTGAAAGCCAAGTAAAATGCAAATTTCAAACACTTTTCGGCACTATATAAGACGATATTCCTAAACAGAATTATTTTTGATATGAAAATCAAAACAATCCTCGAATAAA